ACTCCCCTCTTGGACTACGAGCTTGTCCTCAAGCTCAAATTCAGGATGGGTGTCGGGAAACATCGTCAAAGGAATCCCGGATAGGTGGAATGACTTTGCCCTCCTGGATCGGGTTCCAATGAAGAGGGTTCATCCTCATCTTCCTCTTGTTTCACCAGGAGGCAGAAAAGTCTCTTGCACTTGTGCCCTGCTGAGTAAAGTTCATCGCAATTAAAACATTGTCCCCTCGCCCTACATTCCACCATCTCAACCCTGGACAAGTGCTTAATAGGGGGTGCAACGACGCTGCTCCCCACACTGGATGCTGATCTGGAATTGTTGCTCGTCTGTGGCTTCCATTCTTGGCTGGCTGCTGAATATGGAGCCATTCTGAGTGGTTCCGGGGATGCCCATGCTGATGGAGGCCGCCCCATATTGAAGGTTCCGCGGCTGAGTTGTAGTTTGCGTTCGAAGGCACGACCTATATTCATGGCCGTAACCAGTTTGGGGGGATTCTGCATTTCCACGTCCACTCGCAGGGGTTCTGCTAACCCAGCGGTGAACATGTCTACCTGCTGATCCGGTCGCACTGAAGATGCCCTCGCGAGGAGGGTCTAGAATTGGCGTTGGTATTCTTCCACCGTGCCGGTTTGTTTAAGGTTAATCAACTCGCCTAAGGGGTTGCTTGTCAGTGGGGGCCCAAATCTAAGAAGGCAGTAGGACTTGAATTGGGTCCAATTGAGCCTAGGTTCTTCCTGTTCTAATCGATAGAACCAGGGTTGCGCTTCCTCTGTTAAGTGAAAGGCAGCTAGGCTTAACTTATCCCGGTCGTCTGTTCGTTGATTTCGAAAAAAACTGCTCGCACCAGTACAGCCAGCCCAAGGGATCTCCGTTGCCGTTGTATGACGAAAATTCTAACTTGCTGTACTTGGGGATGATTGCGGCCCCCTGGTTGCCGAATTGCTGTTCGCCGGAAGACTCCGGTAGATTTGGTCGACGGCTACTAGTGGCTGTCACCCCTTCTGTGTTCCTCTCTTTGCTAGAAAGGAATAACTCCATTAGATGCCGTAGCTCCTTGACTCTGTCCTTGATTTCCCGTATTTCCGAGCTGGTCTCCATGAGCTGGTGTTCGAGTTCGTGGACCCTGGACGGCAGCTGCTCCAGATCACCCATGACGCCTTGCTCTGATACCAAAATGTTATGGGCCCGGGCGTAGGATCTCGTCACGGGTCGGTCCACAGGGAGAACCTCTAGTTTCCCCTTGCCCCTCCCCCTTT